TTACTTTCCGCACTTTAATTCTCGCAAAATATTAAACTGTTAGATGTATGATATTAGGTTTGCATGACAAGAATGTATGATTAACTTTAAAACAGTTAGCAAAGCCTAAATGTGCAAAGATAATAATTTGAAATTGAATCACTCGCACATGCGCACTCCTAGGGTATACTCTCACTTCGGTTGCCTTCGGTAAACGATCATTAAGTATAGGGTATTTTTAGTGGTCGCTCCCCTGTCCCAAAGATCAAAGATGCCTCGGAAAGGTTGCCTCGGATATGTTGCTTCGAATATTGATCTTAAGACATTAGGGTTATTACTAAGACGTTCTAACATTGCTTTAGTGATCGTACGTCCCTTTCGAATTGACCCTCAAACTCCAACGATGGTGCTACCTACTCACTAATAGTAGGATAGCGATGTCTAAAGGAAACAAACATAGAAAAATTCTCTTTTCGAGTAGGTAGATGCTAGTAGGTACTTGCTCAAAACAAATAAACTTTTCACACTTACACTCTTTTCAAACAAAGTTTTCAAAACGACTTCGTAACACTCTTGAAGACAGAAGCAAGGGTTAAATCGAAGTAAAACAAAAACTTTTTCAAATCAAACACACACAAGCAATTTTAAAATGATGAACAAGTACCTAAGAGCCCGTAGAAAACTACGGATAGAAAGAGTGCTAATACCTTCCCTTTCTATAATCTACCCCCCGTACTCAAAATCTCGAAAAAGGAATTTTTCTGTGCTTTTTTCCTTTCCAGTTGGATAAAATAAAAGTCGGTGGCGACTCTTGCTTACCGCGACATTTTGCGAACGCAAACGCGAAACACAAACCAGCATTTCAAACAGTTCCGGTTATGCCACCGTATCACACATACCAAACGTCTTTGATCAGAATGTTTTTCCCATTCTTCACTCTAACTCTGACATCTCCCATACCTTCTGAATTAAGATACTTATCGTCAGCACATCTGATCTTTTTTCTCCTTCTGGAGTCAAAGTCTGTCAGCCATTATTTGTTTCCAGTTAAGTGATTTGAACAGACAGTGTCCATATACCACTAATCTTCTGAGCATTTTTCATCAGAATTAGAAGCCATTAGTAGCATAGATTCATCATCAGAGTTTCTCTTAGCCATATACGCTTCTTCTGATTTCCTTTCCTTGTTTGACCTATAATCTCTGGCAAAATGGCCAAATTGTTTACAAGAGTAACATTGAACCTTCTTTTTGTCATACCTCTCTTTTCCTTTATGATATCTCTTATCATCAGAAGTTGAGATTTTCGACTTCTGGAATCTATCACCATGTTTATTCTGCTTCTGGTCTTTCTTGACAAAAGAAACCTTCAGAGCTTGCTTAACTTCCCTCTCAGAAGTTCTCTCAGACAGACGTAACTCCTGTGCTTCTAAACTGCTTTGCAATTCTTCTATTGTCATGGCTTCCAGATCTTTAGAATGTTTAATAGAAACAACAATGTAATCAAACTGAGGAGTAAGCGACCTCAGAATCTTCTCTATGATTACCTGTTCAGACAGAGTTTCTCCACACGCCTTCATCTCTTTAGTGATTAGGATCACTCTAGAGATATATTCAGAAACTTTCTCACTGTTCTTCATGTTCAAGTTCTCATATTGTTTTCGCAGGGATTGAAGCTTCACCTTCTTTACTAATGCGTCACCACCGTAACATCTCACCAGTAAATCCCACGCCCCTTTTGACATTGTCGAATCAACAATCTTCTCGAACACACTTTCATCCACACACTGATGGATATAGAACATAGCTTTCTGGTCCCTCTTCCTCATAACCCTCTCAGCAGTTTTCTATTCTTCAGTTGCATCTGCTGCAGCTGGTACATAACCATCTGTAACATGGTCCAAAACATCTTGCGCACCAAACAACACACGCATTTGTATCATCCATTTGTTCTAGTTTTTGCCATTAAAAACTGGGAGTTTGGTGTTCAAACTACTGTCTCCACTCATTTTAAACCTTGCACAGATTTTCAGATCTTCAAACACATTGTTTCTCAACCCACAGAATCAGATTTTGTTCAAGATTTCAACAGAAAAAATAATGAACCAAAATCAAACACACACAGCTCACAAACACTCGTGTTTCTCAGGAAAAACAGAACCAAATGCTCTAGATACCAATTTGTTGGTGCAAGATAATGAAGTGGGAGAAGAAGAATGAACAAGAATGATAACAAGAAGACTATTGTTGTATAAAATAGAGGAGATAAAGTAGGAATACAATATTGATAGCCTAGTATATCATATTTATATTAAATATTGAAAATGCCAAAAAACCCTATTAAAGATAAGCATTGGAAATTGTAGACATTAACTAAATTATCTTTTCAATAAACATGACATCTTAATACTTCATATTTTCATAAATTATCAATATTTTTTATTTATCTTTTTATTAAACGAGTATTCTGTGTAAAAATTGGATAATACCACAATAACGAGCTATAAAACTCTCAAAATATTTAATGAAATAGATGATTGATATATTAATAGTTATTGGCATTTATAGAATAATAAAAAAAACTAAATATAAAATAATGTAAAAATATAATTTAAAAAAATATTTTTTTATAAATTTGTTGATTTAAAAACATTAACAAATTATTTATATTAATACATATAAATATAAATAAATATTATTACTAAAAAATGAATTTTAAATCAATAAATTATATTAATTTATCCCAGCTAACACTTATCAATTGAATTATTTTGTTCACTCTCTATAATTTTAAAAGAAAGTTGACATATAATAAAAATATAAAATACAGAAATACAATAGTACGTAGAATGACAAAATTTAAATATAATTTCTTAAGTGTTATTTTTATTATTTTTAATAAAAATATAATAATATATAATTTTTTCTAATATATATACAATTTTCTCATATTTTCACTCTCTAAATAATATTTAAGTACACTTGTTATATTTTCATTAGAAAATAATAAAAATTACACATAATAAACTTAATGAATTGTATTTAAATTTTTTTCTATTTAAAATTTTCTCTTTTAATATATCAAAAGTCAGTCAAGTTAACAAAAATGTATTCTAAACCCAAAAAAAAAAAAAAATCTTTTTTGATTAAAAGATTAAGCCACAATATGCAAAAAGAAACACACAACTTCCAAAGAAAAAATCATAAAAATATGAATAAATTTAAAACGACCAATTAAAAACTTAGATCAATATAAAGAATAAGGGAGACTTGGTTAAGCACAAACACAAATGTAAATGGTTTGGACACATTCATATAAATAAAAAAAGATTAAAAAAAATGATAATTTAATCAAATTATTTAATATTATTTGATTTTTTTAAATTTATTTATTGATGAGAATGTGTTTAAGTATGATTTATTTGGGGTAAAGAATAAGGGAGACTTGGTTAAGCACAAACACAAATGTAAATGGTTTGGACACATTCATATAAATAAAAAATGATAATTTAATCAAATTATTTAATATTATTTAATTTTTTAAAATTTATATATTGATGAGAATGTGTTTAAGTATGATTTATTTGGGGTAAAGAATAAGGGAGACTTGGTTAAGCACATAGTTTGGACACACTCATATAAATATAAAAAAATTAAAAAAATAATAATTGAATCAAATTATTTAATATTATTTAATTTTTTAAAATTTATATATTGATGAGAATGTGTTTAAGTATGATTTATTTGGGGTTGTGCCAAGTAAATATTTTTCATAAATTAAAATAAAACTTACTTGAACACAATCACAAATAATAATTATTTGGACGCACACACATAAATAGTACATGATTTAATTATTTAAAAAATAATATTATTTTATTTTATTTATTTTGACATTATACTATGTTTAAGTTGTGTGTGCAAGCAAGTGTTGCTCCATAAATTAATAGGAGCAGAAAAGAAAAAATAATGCCAAGAAAAACTCCAACGAGAATTTTTTTTCTTCAGTTTTTTCAGTTTGACAAACGTAATATAAAGTTTAAAAGTGGTGGAATTGGTCACAAATCCGTTGCACTGCATTGCTGCACCATTGTTTTGCAATATTTTACAATTAAATAATATACTATATTTGTTAGATAGTTTATTTGTTTAATTGTTGTGAGTTCAGTATGAAATTATTTAAAATTGTAATATATTAGAGACAAAAATTGAATAAATTATTTTAAAATAACTTAACACAGTATGACCCACAAAAAGCCATTGAATAGACACTTAAAGTTGAAGGACACTTCAGAGTTGCACACGTCTATCTATCATCATCAGTGTAAAATCTTAGCCGCTTTCAACAAGTACACTTTCTTTTGTGTCAGATTTTCCCAAATATTATTATAAATTTTGGTCAAGCAAAAATACTATTTATTTTTTTTTATTATTATTATCATTATTATTATTATTATTCTGCGATTATTATTGATAAATAAAATGAGAATAAAATCTTTTGTCGTGTTTTAACCCGGGATCTCTTATCCATCTCATTATTTCTAGTAATTATTATTAATTTAATTATATTCTTCATTTCACCTATGAAAATATATTGCATTTTTTGGCCCAAGTTTATTATATATATATTTTTTTGTTTCTATATTTATCTATTTATTTTTTGATGAAATATTTATCTTTTAAATGCTTTCTGTACTAATTGATTTGTATAGATATATACACAGATAGATATAATATCAATATTTGCATCTTATTAATATATACATACATACATGCAATTGAATTTGCATTTCGGTTTCATTTGAGGTTTTTGTTTTCCTTTTATATGGTAATTTCCATTGTACGAAATTTCTGTGTAAAAATTCAGAACGTGCAAACAAACACAACTCTATTTTCACAGAGCTTTGTTTGCATTGAGTATTTTTTTTTTTTTGCATTTCTTTGTTTATGTTTTAATGATTAATTTGACTGTGATGAGGTTAGTTACAATTGTGTCTGTTTTTTTTTTTTTGTTGCAGTTGAATGAAACAGTTCAATTTGGATGCAGAGTTTCACGCCAAAGAGGTTTTTTTTTTTTTTTTTGTACTTGGTACTATTAATCTTAAACATTGTGTTAATGTGTTATCAATCTTTGTTTCTAGAGTGTTGTTTGTGTGAAATTTGCTCTATTTTAGTGGATCAAACATCAAATTTCAGATCTTATTAATGTTTATTGAAATTTGAAATTTTATTTCTAGTACTATTGTTCATAATTTTTTTGTCTTTTGTCATAAGACACTGTGATTATGTTTATTGTTGTGTGATGTTTCATATTTTTCGGATTAGGTTTTGTGTTGATTTATGATGTTTGTTTTCTACTCTATTTTGTTTGACCTATAATGATTTTTAGGATATTTTGCTTTCTTGAGGTTTGAAAAGATTGAAATTTTTTCAACTATTTGGTGGTGACTAGTTTAGGTTTTTGGAATAACCTACATTATGTTACTTGATTTCATGTTTGAAAAATTGAAAATATTAATCTAAGGTTCCTTTTTCTTAAACTTAAATTAGGGATAGTAATAGGATTTTGATCTGTGCTATGATTCTTAAGCTTAAACTATGTTGCAAGTAACATGAATTGTTCCTAAGTGTTGAGTAAGGAAATTTTAGCTTTCTTATGCATGATATTTTGCAGGATAATCCTTTTCGGCGCGAACCGAAAATGGAAAATACACTTGAATCTTCGAGTAGTCCACAATATAAAAAGGTATTTTCTATGGTCTACCATGTCGAGGTTGCGTCTGTGTATACTCGATGTGGTCGTTATAACTGATTTATGTTTTTGAAACATGTTTCCTATAAATATCTGTTTAGATATTAAAAAGAAAAATATTTTAAAAGTGACATATATGGTTGCGATGTTGCAGATATCGTCGAAATGGGATCCAGTTGAAGCGTGTCGGCCGATAATCGGTGAAGCACCTGTGTTTTATCCAACTTTTGAGGTACCTCTTGATTAGCACTATAGATTTTGGTGGTGGTGGTAACATTGTTCAATGATTCGATTTTATTTTTATTCTTCTTATTAGGAGTTTGAAGACACACTTGGTTACATAGCTAAGATACGTCCCATGGCGGAACTGTATGGCATATGTAGAATCGTCCCTCCGGCTTGTTGGACTCCACCATGTCCGCTTAACGAGAGAGAGATATGGGAAAATGCTAAGTTTCCAACTCGCATTCAGCAAGTTGATTTGCTTCAGAACCGGGAGCCGATGAAGAAGAAAAGTAGGGGAAAGAAACGAAAACGTAGAAGGCAGTCAAGGATGGGAACATGTAGTAGGAGAACTGGAAATTCATGTTCCGAAGCTAATGCCACTTCTGAATCGGACGATACGTTTGGGTTCCAATCAGGGCCAGATTTCACACTTAAAGAATTTCAGCAATATGGAAATTCTTTTAAAGATTGCTACTTTGGGTTGATCAATGCGAAAGATGGTAGAGGCGGTGATAATATTCACCACGAGAGACGTGATCCGTCTGTGGAGGAAATTGAAGGTGAATACTGGCGAATAATCGAGCAACCAACGGATGAGGTCGAGGTATTATTGTATTAACAACATTGTTGGTTTTCAATGCAACATATTTAAGAAAACAGTTATAGACTGCGTTATGATTTACGTAGGTGTATTACGGAGCTGACTTGGAAACCGGAGCACTTGGAAGCGGTTTTCCTAAGACATCGTTGTCTACTAAAAGTGATTCAGATTTGTATGCTATGTCTGGCTGGAATCTTAATAACTTTGCACGACTTCCAGGTTCTGCTTTGTGTTTTGAAGGAAGTGACATCTCAGGAGTTCTAGTGCCATGGTTGTATGTTGGAATGTGCTTTTCGACATTCTGCTGGGTACGTAGCGAGGATTACTTTTTTGTTAGTGTACATATAAGGAAAAGTTTATAATATTTTAGGTTTCACTGCTCGCGCTGATTTGTTTGAAATGTTGACTTGTAACACAAGTAATATATCTTGAATTTTGCATTATTTTTGTTTCAGATCTTTATATTTTCGTATAAAGACTAACACATTGTTCTCATTTCATGATTATTGGAACAGCATGTTGAAGATCATCACCTCTATTCGCTTAATTATCTGCACTGGGGTGATCCGAAAGTATGGTATGGCGTACCTGGGAGCCATGCATCGGCCTTGGAAGATGCGATGAGGAAGCACTTGCCTGATTTGTTTGAAGAGAATCCAAATCTACTCAATGAGTTGGTATGATCCTTGTACTTTTCTCGTTGCTTCTATTTTTTGGTTGAAATATCTTCCGATTCTAGTGGTTATGATGATTTCGTCTTTGTACAGGTGACTCAATTCTCTCCTTCGATACTTAAGTCCGAGGGGATTCCTGTGTTTCGAGCTGTCCAACATTCTGGGGAATTTGTTATCACCTTTCCAAGGGCTTACCACGGTGGCTTCAGCTGTGGCTTCAACTGTGCGGAAGCTGTGAATGCGGCTCCGTATGATTGGTTTATGCATGGTCAGAATGCTGTCGAGATTTATAGTCTGCAATGCCGTAAGACATCATTGTCCCATGATAAATTGTTGTTTGGATCTGCTAAGGAAGCTGTGCATGCCCTTTCGAAGACTACTCTTGACGGAAAAGAAAATCTTCAATATTTAAAATGGAGAAATGCTTGTGGAGAAGACGGAGTTCTTACCAATGCAGTTAAGGTAATGATTCTTGTGCGCTCTTTCCTTTTTTATCAAATCACCGTCCGCATATTTAGAAATTTTCGTAACACTTCAGAAGTTATTTATTATTTGGTTTTAGTTACCTTTTTAATTTATATTTTGGCGTAATCGTCTTTACTTTGACAGACAAGGATAATGATGGAAAAAGAGAGGCGGGACTGGCTTCCGTCACATTTAAAGATGCTGAAGATGGACAATGACTTCGATTCGGTTGAGGAAAGGGAATGTTTCTCTTGCTTCTATGATTTGCACCTATCCGCCGTTGGTTGCAAGTGCTCTCCTGACAGCTATTCTTGTCTTAAACACTTCAACTTGTTTTGCTCGTGTGAAATGAATAACAGATTCGTTCTGGTTCGTTATACTATGAATGAGCTTAGTACGTTGGTTGAAGCGTTAGAAGGAGAGCCACACGCAATAGAAGCATGGGCGACTGGGAAAATCGGAACAGTTTCTGCTAGTGTTGAGGATGCTTGCATGCGAGAACAAGATATGGAGAGAGTCATACGCAAAACCAATAATTTCGAAGAAGGGAAAAGCTCAATTTCTTGTGCAGGAATTATTAATGAGAAGCCGAATTCGAATGTTCCTAGCAGTCCTTACAGTCATATTTCGTCCGAGTTGGTCCATTTAGAGTCTCATCGTGTAAAGTTTAGTACGCCATATGCGGACACGAATGGCGTTAAGGACAATATGAGTGATACGAAGTTGATTATGGACAATGAAGTTAAGAAGAATAAGGGAAGTTCTTTTTATTTGAATATTGGTGATATATCTCGTAAATCGGAAAATTCAATGCTAATTATAGCTAATAGCCGTCGCAATAAGTGTGTTCCATATGCGGAAATAGAGGACACAAAGGAGCGAGACAACATGGAACTTGGTGCTCGTGATATTTATGACTTGGAAAAAGAACCTTCATCATGTCGAACCAGTGTTCGAAATTCTGGTACACTCGATGCTTGTAAACTGTTTGGGGTTGACCTGCAACTACGTTCAGATTCAGGACAGAAACTCAATAGCACGTTCGAAGCGGGAAATCTAGACACCTCCAATTCAAGTATATCTTTGATTAACCAAAGCTCATCAATGCAAAAGTTTAGCATTTCTGTCGAGCTCGTAAATTTGGGATCTGTTCTCTATAGAAGGCATTGGTCCAGTAAGCAAGCAATATATCCAAAAGGTATGCTTCTGTAAGATCTTTTCCCGGATTCGTTTAATTTTTGTTTTTATTATTTTGGTGAGAATTTAACTTTTTATTCCCGTGAACTTATGAAGGATTCAAGAGCCGTGTTAAGTTCCTTAGCATTCTTGATCCCGCAAGAATTTGTACCTATGTTTCGGAAGTCATTGATTCTGGAATTCTCGGGCCTTTTTTCAGGGTATCATTTCCGACTTTGTTTCCGTTTCAAAATCATATGGACTTGTTTTTCACTTGAAGTGTCTCATTCAATAAAATATAATTCAGGTTTCCTTGGAAGAACATCCAAACGAGGTTTTCACAAACACCTCGGCCGATAAATGCTGGGAAACAGTTATCGACAGGCTAAACTATGAAATAAATAAGCGCAAGATTCTCGGTGAACAAGAAGTCCCTCCCTTGGAACTACTCCACAGCATCAATGGTCATAAAATGTTTGGATTCCTTTCGCCATTCATTATTCAGGTAATGCAAAATCGTCAAGACGCCGTTGTCTTTTATTGAACAAGATTAACATAACCTATTATCTTCTAAGTTTTGATGTTTCTAATCCATTGTGAATTTGTGATAAAAAATTTCAGTCCATTGAAGCTCAAGATTCGAGTCATAAATGTGTAGAGTACTGGAATCACAAACAAGTTAGTTTCGGATCTTCTGGCAAGGTCACTGATGATTTCAAGTTAACTTGCGGCTCAAGTAACAGTTCTCTAGATGACTTCAAGACCAAGCTATTCGGCGTTGATTTGATAAAGCAGGAGGAGGATGACATAGAAGAAAGTTCAGATTCATTTGAAGAGATGAAACCGATTTTAGAAGGATTCTTAAAAAAGGCGAGACCCGATGAGTTAAGAGCAATGCGCAAGTTATTCAGCTCTGATGCACAAATGACTCAGTGGAGACCGACATTGATGGCGGTGATAGAGGAAATCGAGAAAGATTCTCAATAAAAAACAATAAGATCTCATTAATTGTTGTGTCCATTTTTTCAGTGAGAAATTTTTTCAAGTTAAGATGGATGACATTGAGCATTGTAGGTGTTAATGCCATTGCACATTCCAACTTTAGTTTTAAACTTTGAATTGTTTATCCTTTAGAGTTATTGGTTTACATACTCTTAAAATTTGTTTATATAAACATAAAAACAAATGTTACCTTAATAAGAAATGATATACTGGTGAAATAAAGATTCATTCTTCTACTCATTTTACATTAGTATTTTGCATGTGTTGTGATATAATCTTACACTCAAACTGTTTTTTCAAAGTACTTTTGCTTGGCACAATGACACTTGAAGAATATCCCTAGGACTGATAATGGTACGATTAATCAAGAAAGCCGAATCAAACCAAATCATAATAAAAGTTTATTCGAATTGATGAACCGTTTCAATTTACTCATAACCAAATCGAATCAAAATTATTGATTTAATATACCGTTTTAAAATTCTAAACTATACCAAACTGTTAGAAGACAATTTTCTCAAACCAAATCATTTGTTAAGAACCAAACTGTAAAATTATTTTTCAATTTTTTTAAAAATGTTTTTTTGTATTTTTCATTTTCAATTTCTATTCGATTTACTTGTCATATAATTTGGTTCTAGAATTGTTCCTACAATATAATTGGTTATTTTAACTTCAATTCGATTTGATGACTTAGTTCGGTTCACAGTTTTTTTAACAAGTCTTAAATATCACATTTTTTTTGTTTATGAAAAATGGGGAAAAGAAAAATTATATTTTAAATTAAAATGACAATAACCATTTTATTTTTATAACTATCTCTCTTTAGAGAAGATTTAAATTCTTTCATATTTTGCATAGTAAAAATTGTTGAAATATTATATTATATTTGATTAGATTTAATATTTAAATATAATCTAAATTGTATTAGTCCAAATTTAATTAGGGTTTCATATAAAAGCCATAGTGTATATCTTTATTTTGTACAATACAATTTAAGTGAATAATATAATTCTTATTTTCTTTATTATTCTTTCTTTCTCTCCTCACTAAAAGTGCCTCACGCATAACAAATTGGTATCCAGAGCTTCCAGTTATTGTTCTTGATCATGTTTTCAAGAATTTCACGTTAGAGATCGTGTCTCCAGGACAAGTGAATCAACCGTTGTGAAGATGACTAGTGATAAGGGCATTCTGAATTCTCTTCCAATGCTTGACGGAAAAAATTGGATCTGATGGAAAAACAGATGCAATCCTTGTTTGGCTTCCATGAAACCCTAGAAGTGGTTACCAGCGGCGTTCATGCGCTGGCTACAAATGCAACCGATGAACAGAAAAAATCCCACAACAAAGTCAAGAAGAAAGATTGCAAAGCTGCTTATTACATTCAGACGGCGGTCGACGCTGTTAACTTCGACAGAATTTCTCATGCTGAAACGAAGAAGGAGGCATGAGATATTTTGGTGAAGTATTACGAAGGAGGTGATAAAGTCAAGGTTGTCAAGTTATAAACCTTGTGTCGATAATATGAGTTGGTGTCGATATAAGAAGACGTAAAAGTTGTATAATATGTGTCGAAGATTCAGAAACTCGTCTATCTCATAAAGGATTATGGTAAAACCATAGTTGATAAGATGATAGTTGAGAAGGTAATGAGAACATTGACCTCTCACTTTGATCACGTTATTGTAGCTGCTAAAGAATACAACAATCTTGAAATTCTAAAGTGGAAGATTTGGTTGGTTCGTTGGAGGCACATGAGATGAGGATTTTCGAAAGGAAAAAAGTTCAAGACTCGATACAAGTACTGCAAGCTCAGTCATGGAAAAGAAATGGTGGTTCAAAAAAGTTTAAAGGAAATGTCGACAAGACTCAGGGAAACAAGTCTTGGTCGAACCCTCACAAGCATCAGGTCAAAGACAAAGCTTCTGAATCCTCTAAAAGAGGAGGAGGAAACTATCGAAAGGACAGAGAAGATAAAAAAGTGTGCAGTGCTATAACTGTGAAAAGTGGGGCCACGTAGCCAAAAATTATTGGTACATAAAAGACAAGGGATCGACAGACAATGGCAAAGGAGTGAACCTTGCACGCCAAGATTCGGATGATTTTGAAGGTGGTATGGTGTTTATGGCTGCAGTTGTAGATAACCATATCGAATCCAAGATATGGTTCATCGACTCAGGCTGCTTGAATCACATGACTGGGTGAAAGAAATGGTTGACAGATTTTGACGAGTCGAAGAAGAGCAAGGTAAAACTTGCTGATAATAGTTCATTGCAAGCAAAAGGTACTGGAAACATAGTCTTTCAAATGAGTAATGGAGAGAAAGTTATGATCAAAGATATGCTCAATGTACCTGGAATGAAGTGCAACTTGTTATGTATTGGACAACTAGTCGAAAAAGGTTTCTCAGTTGTCATGAAAAATGGAGTTTTAAAATTGTTCGACACCAAGAATAATTTAGTCTTAAAATCTCCTCTATCGAAGAACATGACATTTAAGACTATGATCAGTTCGACTGAAGTACAATGTCTAAAAACTATTGTCGACCAAAAGGATAGTTGGTTGTGGCATTTGAGGTTTGGACATTTGAACTTTCGATCACTCAATTAGATGATTACTCAAGATATGGTTACTGGTATTCCAAGTCTTGGTATGCCCAACAAACTCTGTGAAGACTGTTTAGTCGGAAAGCAATCCAGAAATTCTTTCGTTTCGACTGTGCCAATGAGATCATTCTTCATATTCGAAGTGGTACATTCAGATGTATGTGGTTCATTCGAAGAACATACCATTGGTGGAAACAAATATTTTGTTTCGTTTGTCAATGAGTTCAGTCGAAAGCTGTGGATCTATGTGATCTAGAGAAAGGACAAAGTATTCAAAATCTTTAAGAGATTCAAGGTACTTGTCGAAAACAAGAGCAAGAAGAGGATCAAAGTTTTGCGAACAGATGGAGGTGGCGAATACACATTCAAGACGTTTAAAAAGTTTTGTGCAGAACATGATGTCGATCAAGAGGTAACTGCTCCTTATACGCCTCAACATAATGGAATTGCTGAAAGAAGAAACATAACCATATTAGATATGGCGAGATGCATGCTAAAGAAGAAGAATTTTCCAAAATCTTTATGGGATGAATTTGTTTCGACTATAGTTTATATTCTGAACAGGTGCCTTACCAAGCAATTGAAGAACAAGGTTCCTGAAGAAGTGTGGAGTCCTTAGTGAGTCATCTGAAGGTGTTTGGCTCTATGTATTACAAGCATGTTCCTGATGCGAGAAGAAGGAAGCTTGATGACAAGAGTGAACCTATAATTCTGGTAGGATATTATAAAACTGGTCCACACAGGCTATTTAATCCACTTAATGAGAAGGTTGTGTTGAGTCGGGACATTGTGATTAATGAAAATTCTGCTTGGGATTGGAATTCTAGTTATTCAATTAACAAGCCATTGATGAGCTCTAATTTTGACAAAGAAACTGATGAAGTCGAATCAAAGGAATTGTTGAGAATCCATTCGAAGTCGAAGTCGAAGATGAAGTCATTGCTGATACTCCCGATATAGTCAGAGTCGAAGAGGTTATGGCTGAAACAAGCCAAAGACATCAAAGAAATAGAGTTCTTCCAATAAGACTTCGGGATTATGAGGTTGTGGGTAATGATGAAGTCACATCAGATGGAGAATTAGTTCATTTTTCTCTACTTGTAGGTGCTGAACCAATCAACCATAACAAAGATTTGAATATTAAACAGTGGAAGTTAGCTATGGTAGAAGAGTTACAGGAAATCGAAAGAAACAATACATGGAAGTTAGTCAAATTGCCAGCACATACAAAAACTATCAAAGTGAAGTGGGTGTTCAAGTTGAAACACAATGTTGATGGGTCAATAGCAAGACATAAAGCAAGATTATTGGCTTCAGGATTTCTTTAACGAGAAGGACTCAACTACTCTGAAGTATTTACTCCAGTAGCAAGATTGGAGACTATTAGACTAGAGGTAGCATTGGCATGCAACCAAGGTTGGCCGACATTTCATTTAGATGTGAAATCGGTATTTCTGAATGGTTCTTTAGACGAAGAGGTATATGTCACACAACCGCCAGGGTTTGTGATTCAGAAGGAAGCAAGTAAAATATATAAGTTACACAAAGCACTATATGGCCTCAAGCAGGCACCTAGGGTATGGAACAAGAAAATCGACTCATACATAGTCGAATTAGGGTTTCTCAAATGAAAATCAGAGTATGGTGTCTATGTTTAGGTTGTAGCACAAGATATAATAATCATCTGCTTGTATGTCAATGGTTTGCTGGTAACTAGAAATAGCATGGAGAACTTGTTGAAGTTCAAAGAGCTGATGATGAGAGAATTCAAATGTCGGATCTGGGAAAATTATCTTATTTCCTAGGCATGGAATTTCAAATATCGAAGCAAGGTATGATGCTACATCAAAGGAAGTATGTCAAAGAGATACTCAAGAGATTTAGAATAGATGATTTAAATAATGCATCCTCACCTGTCGAACCAAATGTGAAGTTGGAGAAGAATGAAGAGGAAGACAAAGTCGATGTAACTTTGTTCAAGAAAATCGTGGGATCTCTGAGGTATGTGCGCAACAATCTACCTGATATAGGTTTCACAATTGGATTAGTAAGCAAATATATAAGTGAACCAAGAGTGTCACATATGAAGGCTTCAAGAAGAATCCTGAGATATTTAAAGGGTTCGATAAATTATGGAATACTATTTCGACGAGACTCTGAAAGCAAAGAAGCAACTGTTACTTATTTTTCAGATGTTGATTGGTGTGGAGATAAGGAAGATCGAAGAAGAAGAAATGGATATTTCTTTCAAGTATTTAGTTCCCCAATCTCATGGTGTTCAAAACAACAACATGTGGTGGCACTGTCATTGTATGAAGCTGAATATATAGCAGGATCCTATGCAGCATGTCAAGCAATTTTGATCAGATCGGTACT